TTGGAAAACTCTCGAAGGAAGTCGACATAGCACTACCCGGCAAGCACACTCGAGAACTATATGATAACCTTTCCTGGATGGAGGCGAGCATGCTGGCCCAGCTCAGGACAGGCATGGCGAGACTGAACGCCTCACTTTTCCGAATCAGGGCAGTAGCTTCAGCCCAATGCGCATGCGGACAAGCGAGAGAGACGGTGGAGCACTTTCTCCTCCGATGCACACGATGGGCAACACAACGAGCCGAGACACTCATGCGCCCTGGCACACAAAGAGACAACATCTCCTTCCATTTGGGAGGTAAGACGACATCAGATGGTGATGATTGGAAGCCGGACATGAAAGCAGTCCGAGCTACGATACGCTTTGCGAAGGCCACGGGCCGACTGGAGAACGTGTGATCCCTTGCGGGGGCCTAACACACCAAAACCCCCCTTCTTCTACTAACCGAACCTAACACCCACACCTCGTGTCAACAACAGTAAGCGCCGCTTCAGTCGCCGTAGATAGGACTCTGAACACTTGAAGAATAGCCTTCAAGCAGCTTGCCAATACAATCTAAACCCCACGAGAAACCGGCGGCAAGACAGAAGACGAGAAAGCAAGAGCGGAAAGATGACCTATTATGGGCTTGGGAGATTCGGACAGACTAGAGGAAGCGACCGTGTACAATAGCAAATAGTGCCTTATTGGCTCTAGGCCACCAGGCGTAATAAACTTGTGTGTGTGTGTGTACCTGCCTTGCCATAGGTACCTTGCGGTACTTACCTTAGGTACCTTAGGCAGATATCTATCCTACGACCTCCTAAGACCTCTGCGCCCCGACAAGGAATGTGCTTCATTCAACTCCATCATTATTCTTCGCTTCGCATGTCGGGGAATAGGTTTGAAATGCAGCCTTCCACTGTGCTTTTACTGTGCAACAACCACGTGGCAGTGCATGGATTCCTCGCTCGCAAGGCTCGGGGCCTCCCATGTTGGTGCTGACCGCATCGGAGCACGCACAGTCGAGCAGGTTATGACGGGCTCCCATTTAGGCCAGGCGGCCAGTTTGTTTTAATCGTGCATCTTTGATCGGTCTGACCTCGATTCGACATTCGCCCCTTCTTTATGACTTTGCTATTACGACCAAATCGACATCACAGACCACTACTCCGATGCGTCTCCTGAATGTCAAAACCCGCAAGCTAGAGAAGTTCTTCGATGAATCGAACCCAGACTATGCCATTCTTTCACACACCTGGGGAGCAGAAGAAGTTACTCTGCAAGATCTCGAGAACCCCGATCATGTCCAGAAGAAGGGCTGGACCAAGATCGACGGGACTTGCACCCTCGCGGCCAAGGAGAACATCGACTACATCTGGATCGATACTTGCTGCATCGACAAGACGAACAGCGCAGAGCTTTCGGAAGCCATTAATTCCATGTACCGCTGGTACAAATCGTCCCAAATTTGTTACACATATCTCTCCGATGTCCCCACAAACACAGACCCTTCTGAGTCCAACTCGGCCTCTCGACGGAGTGGCTGGTTCACCAGGGGGTGGACACTCCAAGAGCTGATCGCCCCGCGAAACCTTGTTTTTTACGACCAGAAATGGAAGCCCATGGGGACAAGACTGGAGTTGGCGGCTCTTGTCAAAGATATCACCGCCGTCCCCGCTCACATGCTGTCAGCAGACGCCTCCAATCCCTGGCCTAATACTGCAATACGCATGTCCTGGGCGGCGAACAGAGCCACGTCGAGGGCTGAAGACATTGCCTATTGTCTCCTCGGCATCTTTGACATACAGATGCCTCTGCTATACGGCGAAGGCAATGCCGCATTCCAAAGGTTGCAGCTTGAACTACTCAAGCAATCAGAGGAGGAGTCTCTGTTGGCTTGGGGCCTCGACTCGTCGGTGCAACTGATCATCAAACCCCCCAACTGGAGAGGTCTGGTTTCAGTTGCTAACAACAGCCGCCCATCTCGCGGTCGGGGCGTCTTAGCACACCACCCGGGCGCCTTTCGCTCCTGGCAAGGGTTGGAGGCATCAGAAGAAGACACGTCAAAGTGGCCTCCGAGATCCAAGATGCAAGCCACCAAGTCCGGGTTGGAGATAACGGTACCTTTGATCAAATTGCGCGGCAGGTGCTACGCAGTTCTGAACTGTTCCCGCTCTGCTCATTTAGCTGATCTATTGCTCGTTCCCCTTTTCCTTCAAGCCGGCTCCGGCAAGTCTACAATCACGTACTCGCGAGGCCAAAATATCATTTGCGCATCATGGGCTGTACTTGACCAAGCTGCAATGCAAACCATCATTTTAAGCACTGCATCAGATGTTGCACCAGGATCGGAACAAGTTCATGACGATTTTCTTCCTCTCCACGCTTTACAGGACGACGTCCTGATAGTCCGACTGCGTGATGTGGTTGCAGAGACCACCATGGCCGTTGATCATTGCATTGCCCGTGATCATGGGCCTGCTCTTGTACCAGTCAGTACACGAAATGTTCGAAATCTAGCCAAGACAACAGCGAGTCTAACCCTTTGTGCTAGTTCTTTGTTAGTACTGATCAGAGTCTTGACAAGAGGAACGTCCAATGGATCAACGATCATGATCATATCGTGCGGCTGAAGTACGATGTCACGCGTGTGAATCGCATAGCTTCTAGATTCAAGGTTGATGGAGAAAACGGGGTTGATCTGTTCGTATTGACAACAATCGAAACTAAACAGGGCGACGAGCACTTCACTTGCGTCATAGGCAACAACGTTCGGCGGCAGCCACCAGAGGAGCTCTTGGACCTAGGGACTTCGCTCAGCAACTCTTGCTCTATAACCATTGACGGGCGAGTATACTCCGCCCGCGTTGATTCGAGACTCTTTCTTGGCTTTCGGGTACACACATTGGATCTCAGCTGCGCAACTGCTCAATCTGTCTCTTCTTCTTCTATTATGCAAAGCATTCGACGCATATCGGGCAAGCTCGGATTGCAGAGAACCTAGGCTATGATAGAATGAGCTCAGTATGGTGCGAATTTCACGGACGGAACGTTTCAAGGACACCAAATGAATTACCATAGGCCGGCACATCTTTCTATCATCGGCAAGGTAGTAGCGGAAAGCGGTACGGCACTCAGAATCATGAATACCCAACACGAGTGCACATGTTCAACAGCTTCTTCTTTATTCCTCGCTTCTCAAACCGTCTCCAAGCGCAAGAGTCGGATCGCATTCCCTCCCATAATCCCGTCAGCCTCCTCACTACCCTTTCCGACAGCCTTGCTGACAGCCTCGGCATTCCATGTAACGCTCTCCCACGTACCCTGCTCGTCCGTCCCTAGGGGCGGGAAAAAGGGGTGATCCGTGCCGAACATCAGCCTGTCCGCCCCACCACTAGCCGCAATGGCGGCCTTGAGCCCGATCTCGGAGTAGATGACGGCGTCAAGATATACCTGCTCCCGCAACACATCCCAGATGGTCCTCCGCGCCGCGCCGACCTTGCCCTCGGCAACCAGCTGCCCATCGTGCAAGATGCAGCTCTCGATGCGTCCGGCGAGAAAGGGCAGCGTGCCGCCGCTGTGCGCGAGCAGCATCCGCAGCGCAGGGACCCTGTCGAACACGCCGGCGAGGTACATCCTCGCGACGGCAATGGTCGTCTCCATGGGGAAGCCCAGGGCCAGCGGCAGCACGTGGCCGTACTCGGCACTGGCCCTCGGGCCCCACACGTCGTTTGGCAGACCGTAGTGGGGATGCAGAAAGACGGTCAGCGCGGCGGCGGCGACGGCCTCGAGCACGGGGACCAGCTCAGGGTCGTCGAGGCCGCTGCCGAGGCCGGACGTGCCCAGGATGACGCCGCGGCAGTGCTCGAGCTCGGCGACGTGGCGCACGGCCTCGAGCAGCGCGGGCAGCGGCGCCGTCAGCGGCAGGGCGGCGAAGAAGAAGAGGCGGCCGGGCTGCGAGGCGCACATGGCCTCGAACTCGTCGTTGACGCTGCGGGCCGTGGCTGCTGCTTCTTTGGGCTCGATAAAGTCGAGCCAGGGGTTGGCGAGGCTCACGACGGATATGTCGATGGAGTGGGTGTCCATGAAGTGGATCTTCTGGTCGAGGGAGGCGTAGTGCGAGGTTAAGGGCCGGCCGGGCGGCTTGGCGGTCGGGTCTTGGAGTGCGGCATCGAGGGCCTGCTGCTCGGCGTCGAGGAGGATGAGGCGGGGGTCTGCGGCCTGGGGAAAGGTGCGGACGACGGGGATGGCGGTGCGGGAGGTGAGGATGTCGATGTAGGAGGGGGGGTACATGTGGGTGTGGATGTCCACGACCTTGGGCTTTGTGGACGCCATTATGTGCTTGGTATTTTCTGAAAGATGAGGGTGTAAGCTTCCTAGGTACGATACCTAAGGTGAGGTAAGAGAGTTAGATGCACGTGAAGAGATGAGACGATTCTGGGACGAGGGCGACCTACAGCAACGCTGAATTGATCGCTGGTCGATGAATCCTTGTACTTTCACTCCCCGTCTTATTGTTTGGACTCTGTGTCATGCGAGGAGATGGAGGGCATACAGCTAACTACAGCCATCGAGGAAGGTAGCAAGAGGTTCCCGGCGCCTGCCGGTGTAAGTCGGCGCGTCCCCGCAGTTGCCCCGCCGTTATCTTGCGCTCCGCAGTTATCCTGTGCCCCGCAGTTTATCCGTCTATCGGGTATGGCCATATCGAGGCGTAACAATCGTTTTCGTTGCAACGATATCCAACTCGTTGCTTCCTTCAACATTTGACATCTATTGTTTCTGTCAATAACAACTCCATCCACGGACATAGCGTCATGTCGAATACACATGTGCTGCATGGCCTTGTATATTGACCTCGAAACAATGACTCGATCATGATCGTCAACTGATGGCCTGGACGCACTGTGCGCCATGATTGGGATCCCTGCACAACAGTTGTGGCCAATATGCCTTCTCCCAGTCAGGCCGTGTTGCGATATCCCGTGGTTCCATCTTCAGCTTGTTCCTTCTTATGATTCCATGAGATATACATGGTCATTATGAGGGCATGGCATTGCTGACAAGCCGTCGAGCACTACACCGGGCTTTCTACCAGCTCATCCAGAAGACATGCAGAAAACATCTGATATCTAGCCACTTCCTTTGACAACGACTGCCTCACGTCGCTCACGACGTTCTCGGCTGGTTCTTGACCGGTCATTCAATCCCCCGCCACGCCTGCTCCCACGTTGTCTTGGCCAGCATCTCGCTCATCAAAAGCACCGGGCCCCCGACCCATTAATCGATGGCGTGCTCATCCTTCACGCCAATCTGGTTGTCCGCCACGAATCGTGCAGCCACCAGATCGACGCTCACCCAGCCCGCTGAAGGTGTGGTCCGGCCGGAGCTCCATCCTCGGAGGAGTCGAACCCACGACGGGGGAGGCTCCTGGTTCGCAGTGCGAGGACTGATGCAACCCATCACGCGCGACACCTGCACAACTCTGGGAGCAAGGTTGCCCGCAGGCGCAGGGACGCAGTCCCAACGGCATGGGTAAAATAATGGAGCTTGATGGTGTCATCTCCCGCCATGGAAAAAGTCGTTGCAGGATCCTTTATGATGATTTGGTCGCAGCCTTGAGCTTCGTCGCTCTCCCGTCGACTTATCAACCACCAAACTCTTCCAGCATTGCTGCCCGGTGACTGTGACTGTTTAAAGACCGCCATGGCCGATCACGAAAAGACACCACACCCTTCAGTCATGGCTGAGACGGTGCAGCGGTCGGGCGAGGATGAGACTCGCGAAAATGCCTGGATTCGCTTGATGACTGTGGTGCACTGGTATCCCCGGGACATGCCCTCCAAGGAGAAGAAGCTCGTGCTCAAACTCGACCTCATGATCCTCGTCTACGGCTGTCTATGCTTCTTCACAAAGTATCTGGACCAGGCTTCGCTGACCAACGCCTACGTGACGTAAGTGAACAGAGCAAGACCTGCTGGGCCACATCACTGACAGCAACAGCGGCATGCGGGAGGAACTGGGAATGTTTGCTAACGAGCTCAACTACGCCGTCATCACCTTCTGGTCCTCCTACTGCGTCTTCATGATCCCCGCCTGCTACTATCTCACCCGCTACCCCGTCAACGTTGTGCTGCCCCTCTGCGAAATCGGCTGGGGCACGGCCACCTTTGGACTCGCCTGGGCCCAGAATGTCGACACAGTCTACGCGATGCGCTTCTTCGTCGGCCTCTTCGAAGCCTGCTCCTTCACGGGCGTCATCTACGTCATCGGCTCATGGATGCGCAAGCGCGAGATTGCGCGCCGCGTTGCCCTCTTCTACATGGCCGCGCCCCTCGGCACCATGTTCGCCGGCTACCTGCAGACGGCGGCGTACCGCGGCCTCACCGGCGTCGGCGGCCTCTCGGGCTGGCGCTGGCTCTTCATCGTCGACGCCATCATCACGATCCCCATCTCGTTTCTCGGCTTCTTTGTCTTCCCGGACGTGCCGCACCGGTCGCGGCCGCGGTGCCTGTCACCGGACGAGCACGCCTTTGCCCGCGCGCGGCTCGCCGGCCAGACGGCGCCGTCGCAGCTCAAGGTGTCGCGCGACATATTTGCGCGCGTCTTCCGCCGCTGGCACTGGTACCTCTTCGTCGCGCTCTGGTCCATCGGCAACCAGAACAACCAGATTCCCGGCTCGCCCTTTAGCTTGTACCTACGCGCCAACAATGACTTGTACAGCGTCACGCGCATCAACACGCTCCCGACGGTGGCGACGGCCGTCTCCATCGTCACGGCTTTCACGACGTGCGCCGTCGCCGATCGCATAGGGCGTTTCTGGCCGCTGCTGCTGGCCGTGTCGGTGCCGACAGTCGTGGCGCACGCGCTGCTCGTGGCGTGGCATATCGGCGAGGCAGGACGCGTCGCGGCCTTTACGATTGGCGGATTTGAGGGTGCGCTGTTCCCGCTGACCATGGCGTGGGCGACGGTGGCCATGGCGGGGGACGCCGAGGAGAGGGCTGTTGTGACGGCGAGCATGAATGCCATCGGGCAGGCGATTGTCGCGTGGAGTCAGCTGCTGCAGTTTCCGGCTGTCGAGGCACCGCGGTTCAAGAAGGGGTTCCTCGGTGGGCTCATTACATCGGTCGTGCAGTTTGGGGTCATCTTTGCCATCATGTGGTTTGCACACAGGGAGGACGTTACCAAGAGAGCGTCGGAGGAATACTCTGACGGTCAGCCTGGCGACGAGGAACAACACCGCGATGAACGACAAAAGGAGGAGAAGAGTATCGAGGGGTAGACTCGTCCGATACCACAGTAACGGGGTCCTGGTTCTTGACTGAAGAGCTGCTGGCCATTCAGTCGCAGCGTCTTCCTTGGTGCCCAATGCATGCATATCCGGCGATCGCCAGGCATAGGTACAGTTTCTCCATCGAACGGCCTGGCCACCCTGGCACATGCTACCTCACATGCGTGAATGCCACGCAACCAATCTGTTCCGTCCACTGCCCCTCCGGGAAGGTGATAGAACAGTCTCAGCCGACGCCGTCTCAGTGGCTGGCGTCGACGGCGTTCCCCCGCGATTTTACCCCGCCGTTATCTCTGGGTCGGCTGTCTGCATGTCGCCTCTGCTTGTCCTGGTCCCTGTCTCACCTCCACGTCGCCCTCGCTCGCGGCCACCTCCGCTTCGGGGTTGGTTTCCCCCTACTGTCGAGGAGCAGCTTATCAGCGCCGTCACCTCCAAAGTGGGGTAGAGAGTACATGATGGGAGTGCCATGCGACGGCAGCTGAACTGATGCCGCCGGTGCCATTGCAGTCAAAAGGAGGCTGCCGTGTTGATTGATGTCTTTCTTCTTGCTTGATCTGTGAATGTGACAGGCAGAGTGAGCAACGTCATTGGAGCTGCCACTTGACATTCTCCCCATTGATCCGGTCGTCTTCCTGTACCCTCTGAGGAGTGTGGCTGACATGTAAGTCGAGAGGTTACTTCCACTGGCAGACCTCCATGTCTACGATGGCATCATCTCAAGCGACGACCTGCTGATCCAGTGTTCGGTTCAAAGACCACTACTGGCAAGAGTCGAACTGTTTGCTCCCACTGAATCACCATCTCCACCAGCCATCATGGCCACAGCAGTGAGCGGAGAGGGTCTCGTCATCCCCGTACGTTTACTCGCACGCACGCCTACTCGTCATGAACTGACCACCCCAGCTCATCGACTTCTCGGGCTTCCTGCACGGCGACGCCGCTGAGCGCCAGGCCACGGCCCGCGCGATCCTCCACGGCTTCCAGACGGCGGGCTTCATCTACCTCAAGAACCACCCGATCGACGAGGCGACGCTGGCGCGGGCCTTTGCCGCCTCGGCCGCCTTCTTCGCGCAGGCCGACGAGGCCAAGCTCGCGCTCGGCTGGACGACGCCCGAGGCCAACAGGGGCTACTCGGCGCCGGGCCGCGAAAAGGTCAGCCAGCTCACCGACGTCAGCGCCGTGTCGGCCGTGCGGCAGGCGGCGCCGGACCTGAAGGAGTCGTTCGAGATTGGCCGCGAGGGCGTGCCGGGGCACCCGAACCAGTGGCCGGCCGAGGGCGAGGGCGAGAGCGAGGGCGACGCCGCCGCCGCGGCAGCGGTCGCGGGCTTCCGGGCCGAGATGCTCGCCTTCTTCGCGCGCTGCAAGGCGCTGCACGTGGAGGTGATGCGGGCCATCGGCGCCGGCATGGGCCTCGCCGACGGCTTCTTCGACGGCTTCACCGACGACGGCGACACACGCTGCGGCTGCTGCACTACCCGGCCGTCGACCCGGCCGTGTTCCGCGTGCGCGCCGGCCAGGTG